AATGATTTAATAACACAGACGTTATATCGGACGACACTTCCGGATGACGTTCGCAATTACGAGCACTTGATTATGATTGCAATTTAGTCGACAATATGTATTTAACTATTGTTACATTCATGTAACATGTTCTTCACCAATAGTATCACCGGACGTAATGGTTAGATAATATGGCACAAGCGGTTCGTTATTGGTTTCTGAAGTTACATTCACGCATTGTTCGTGAGTATTGTCTTCAGTGATAGTCAGATAATAAGGCATTGATTCAGGAGTTGTGTTGTCGTCATTGATCGCCAGATAATACGGCATATTTGCGACATTGACTTCGGGTATAATCTCATCATATGTCGGATCCGCGTATTCTCTGTCGTCGTTGTATTGAATGTCATCGTAACTGTTCCGCGCTTTTGGTTTGGTTTTCATTTTTCTTATGACCACAACTAATGCAATCATTACTGCGATTACAATCACAATAATTATTATTACAATCATAACACCCGACGACACGAACTGATCTAAAAACCAAAACAGGGAATCAATTTTAATAACATTCATACAGTATCATGTGTTTTTTTATAAAGCTAAACTCTATAGAAATAAATTAAATACTTTGATCACTGAAATCAATTGTCTGACAAATAGGTGTCTTCTGATCCCATGTAGAGTTGTATCCACACGTCCGGACGGAATCGCTCACAAACTCATAACCAGTCTTACATTTATAGTAAACTTGTGTGCCTTCGATGGCATACCATTTGCTTTCGTTGAATATATAGGCATTTTTAACGGAATCAATTTCTTCGGTCTCATTACTGAACTGTAATTTGCAAAACAATTTTGGTATACATTTGGGACGTCCCGACCAATACTCGTTGTCCACACAATCGGGAAATCTTGACTGTTTTCTTTGGACGGACAAAATTGGTGCCGAATCATTGCTATCGTACGACACCTTCGGATCGCATTTTAAATAACCTTTTATAACATTTATGGCCATATATTTAGTCAATAGAGGGGCAGTCGGGTGTCCGCAGTAAAAGAGTTTAGCCAAATGAACCTCATTTAAACCGATTGTCATCACGGGTTGATTGGCATATGTTGTGAATTTAATGGACAGACTATTGTCTGACAAACCCTTACTCTCTGTACACCAAAACCAAAATAATTTGATGAATTCGTTACGAGTGCTAAAATCGAGAGCACAGGTCCTGTTGTGTTCGCTATCGACACGAATATTCTCGACTTGAATTGAATTAATTTCATTAGTAATTTTGTACTGTAAATCAAGTTTAGGTATTTTGAGGTCCAGAATAAAAAAGTCAAAGTATATATTTAAGACCTTGACTTTCACGGTAAGCACACCAAACACACGTAGGGAATGATTGTGACGGCAGCGCAAGTGTAGCTCTTTTGAATAATGTGAGAATAACAGCCACATAAACGAACATAAGTGCAGTTCAACGGTCTCATTGTTTTGCAAATTAACCACTTTTACTCTGATTAGCGCATTCGCATGAGTGTCTCCACATGTGGGTCGGTTACCCGTCCACTCGCCCGACACACACTTCTTGGTCTGTGTCTTAAGGTATAGCGGATCCAACGGACAGCTGTATTGCACTTCATCGCCGTCTTCGTAAACACTCTTTTTGGTGCCTAATTTGGTATTATGCGGAAGACCCGGGTGTCCACAACGGCTCCCAATCCGATAACATTTACATGTATTACACACTAATATTATAAATAATACATTGATTATGTTTGTAACAATAATCATATTAACAATTAATTTAATTTAAATATCAATGATTATATTAAATATGACTGCTTTTTAATACACAAAACATGTATTAACGCATTGTTTGCCGACCGACATAAATCATAGAATGGGATTTTATAAACTAGTACTCATAGTGAATATTAATATAATTCCTAGAATTAATACTTTATACTTTTGCTTATTTCAATATCCGCTATAAGTTTATTCAAATAAAACATAATATTTCAATGTCTTAATAATTACTTCAACATATTGGTAATGGGAAAATGTTTAATTAATGTATCGTTGCATCAATTTAATCCCATTAATTCAACATTATTACCTAAACTTGTAATAAATTCGTATTATTTTAATTTTATATTTCTAAAATTATAGTTCACATATGGTTAAATTCTGATTTAACTAATGATATTCCTGATAATAGATATGTTTGACTGAATGGAAATTTTATAAATAATCTCACTATCTGTTTGCTATATGATTAGTGGCCAATTTGCATCTATGGTATATTCAATATATAGACATTATTTCATAATAATTTAAATAATTGCATAACATTTTAATTGCATTTATATTAATAACACAAACAAAAAATCGCTATAAAAATACAAAGTTTTCATATTTAAAACACAAAACAAACATTTAATTTAATACAAAATCAATGCCAATGTCTTCAGTCATTAATTCGGGTTTTGTTTCAAAAAACTTTATGAATTAGACGTCATATTCAATGGTATTGTCTCGAGTGTCAGATAATAGCCATAAACAGTCAGCACCGGTATATACTATGGCGTTAATACCCCCTCCGGTGCCGACCGTTTAACCTCATCCGCCGCCACCGGAAGGCCCGCATTGACGCGACGGACGATACGTTGAGCCCGAAGAGGAGCCCAACAGCGGGTTATACGAGTTGTCCCGTAAGGCCTTTGACTGGCGTTTGCGTAACTCATTGGCCACGTCTTTGTCGTCGGGCAACGACCTCAACATCTCATCCCTCTGTCTCTGCTTTTCCCTCTTCTTCTCCGCCTCTTTCTCGTCGTATTCTAGCGCGACAAACAATATATTGAGAACGACAGCTGCAGACCGCCGCAGGTAGACTAGGGCTGCAGCCCTGTTGAGTAGGCCTAGATGTGTAACCCAGTGTTTTGCCCACTTAGTTACTTTGGTTAACACTGTCGCGTTAAAGACATGCGATGGACACAAACCCTCGTTCATGCGGTCCACGCGTTGCCGCAATCGGTGCCAATACTTGTGGTACACGAAGACTAAGCCAATGATCACCGCAAACACATACCAGCCATATCACCGGTTGTCTACCGGCTATTACCTATGCCACAAGTGGTGCTCAACGCCTAGAGATAAGAACTCGAGAGGAGGTAGCGGGCGAAGCCGGTAGTTAAGGAGGTGCAGAAGCAGCCGGTAGTGAAGGACTCTTCGGTGATGTTTTTTTGTGTGGTTTTTTTTCAATGCAATCAACGATTCATTTAATTATGAAATTAATTGCAAAACATTTCCTCATTTCATAAATGAGTCGTTTGTTTACAATTTGAATGAAGTTTGCATTTGTGTCACGTTTTGGTACTTTTTGTTGCATTGCTTTTGCATAGAGTTGTTGTCTAATAATGGACTCAATTATCGTTTAAATGCCTTAATCTGTAGACATCTGTTGTATTTGTTTGTAAACTTATTGACTGAATTGGTTTTGACGTTTTCGAATATGACCTAGATTAGATTAAGAGATCAAGCATAATAACTCTTATACTTTTACATTAGTAATAGTCACCCGGGTGACTATTCTGATGACTACTATCCTAGATTAATTCATTTTACTTGGTATGTGCACTACATTTACATAAAATCAAATAATATCTAAATATCATTCGTATTAAGTATTGAATTAATACTGCTTTTATTGAACATTTCATATTATTTCACTTTTTACAATATATTACATATTCTGTACAGAATTCAACAAAATTTGTACAACAAATATAAACTTAAAATTCTCTCTCTCTCTCTCTCTCTCTCTCTCTCTCTCCTACATACCAGTCCCATTTTGTTACATGAATGTAACAATAGTTAAATACATATTGTCGACTAAATTGCAATCATAATCAAGTGCTCGTAATTGCGAACGTCATCCGGAAGTGTCGTCCGATATAACGTCTGTGTTATTAAATCATTGCTAATATTAAAAACGTATTAATCTTTTCGTCATAACATTAAACCTATTTTGTTGTATTCGAGGAAAGTTAGAGCGGATATATAAAGTATAAAACTATTGATTAATGCATTAATTCTACAATTCTATAAAATGAGTTAAATTATTTAGAAATTATTTAGTTTTAAGCATTTTCTTTTAACAATCGGGATATGAGTTTCATTTCTATTCAGTACAACATGTGATTGTAAATGAGATTTATAAGCAGAATAAAATTATTTAAAATTATTATTAATATACAGAATATTCTTGAAACAGTGATATATGAATATTATTAATATAATGTTAAATAAACATGATACAAAAATGAATATTTTTAAAGATAAGATCAATATATTGTGTGTATTATTCGTATGCATTTGTTATTCATGTAAATGCTATTTAGTTGGGAGTCGCTGTGGACATCCGGGTCGCCCCGGTTTAACTAATTTAGATCCCGAGAAGAGTGTCTACGAAGAGGGCGAAGAAGTGCAATTTAGCTGTGCATTGCATCGCATATACCAGAAGAGACAAATGAAGGCGTGTGTGTCGGGCCACTGGATCGGCAACCGAACCACTTGTGGTCACTTTCTTGTAAATCAAGTAATGAGAGTAAAAGTGATTGATTTGCAAAACAATGAGACCGTCGTTGACGTGAATACAAGTAATTACACCAATGATCGATACGACACAAGTTTTTTCGACGAGAGCGGAGGAGTGTTAGTAAGGGATGCACACAAACCACACGAATGGCACTTTCAGTTCCAGAATTTTATATTCTTTAACTTTTTTATTTTGTACCTAAAAATACCGACACTTGAATTCGCCGATGAAATTGATTTAATAAATGTTCGCAATATTCGAGTCGATACCGAAAACAACAGGACATGTGTTGAAGATTATAGCACTCGTCAGTGGAATTGGAAGAAAGTATTCTGGTTTTGGTGTACAGAGAGCAAGGGATCGCCGAATAACACTCTGTCCATTAGGTTTACAACATATGCCAATCAACCCGTGAAAGCAATCACTTTAAATGATGTTTATCTGAGTCAACTCAGGTACTGCGGTTACCCGACTGTCCCCCCAATGACTAAATATGTGAAAAATAATGAAAAAGATCAGTTAGAATGTGATTCGGAGGTGTCCTACGATATCAACTCTTATACTCCGAATTTGCCCATGGTTAAACACAGAGTGCATAATGATTGTGTGGGTAATCAGTATTTTGCCGGACGGCCAAAATGTGTGCCCAAAATGTTTTGCAAATTACAACTGAATAATGAAACCGAAGAAATCAGTTCCGTTACAAACGCCTATATATTCAACGAAAGCAAATGGTATGCCATCGAAGGCACACAAGTTTACTACAGGTGTAAAATTGGTTACAAATTATTTGGTGAATCCGTGCGGACGTGTGGATACAACTCTACGTGGGATCAGACGACACCTATTTGTAAAGCTATTGATTCTAAAGATGGCCCCAAAAGTATGTAATTCATGGCTATATTAAATTTATTAACAAAACACAACATAAATATTATTATAAATAATATCCCTTTTTGTTCTTCAGATCAGTTCGTGTCGTCGGGTGTTATGACTGCGATAATCATTATTGTAGTTGTGATCGTAATAATGATTGCATTAGTTGTGGTCATAATTGGGATGAAAAGGCGTATAAAAAATCAGAAAACTAGAGAAACTAATGGTAAAAAGCGGAACAGTTATGACGACATTCAATACAAAAACGACGACAAAGAATACGCGGATCCGACATATGATGAAACCAAACCCGAAGCCAATGTCCCAAATATACCGTATTATCTGGCGATCAATGGCGACAATTCAACTGCAGAAACTAATAACAACTCTCAACCTGTACTCCAATCTAAAAATGGTCCACAAATGCCATATTATTTAACTATTACTGAAGACAACAACACTCATGAAGAATATACTGATATACCGACACATTCAAAGTCAATAAACACTTAAATTATTTTTATGTTCATTTATTTGTCCCATAATTTAATTCCCAATTGTCAAATAACATCACATAACGATAATGCGTTAATGAGACCGTTCATAATCTACGGCATTCTGACACAACTGACCTAGGTCAACATTAGTTGCATAATTTTTTTAATAACTCAATATACATATAATTATAATTAATATCTTGATGCAAATCAATATAACCTGGATATAAAAATTAGGCTTTAAATCATAAACAACTTATCCATGAGTTACACAAAATTAATTGTGTTTATTGGTATTAAATTAATACTATTAATGACCTTGTTTTATCTGGTATTAACACTTAACACTGGTGTTAATACTTTAGGTTTTAAAAATGGAATATTTCGGAATCTTATTTTACTTAATACGGCCGATGGTATGGAATAGTCAGGGTATGGAAGGGGTGACCGCATTATACTATAAATCACATTAATTATTCTGAATTGCGGATAAACACGGGTTGAGAAGCATAGTTATGGAAGAGCCTATAGTAATACCATTTTTATGCTGACTTATTAATGTTGTAAGTCTAGTCACATAACGTCATAGATTCTATTTGTTCACTTCAATGCCTTTTGTTTGATTGGAATTGTTATTACAAAATGTATTTCCAGTAATTATTTTAATATTTAAAATGCGACAAATGTTCAGGATATGTATAGTATGTGAGATTTTATATAATATTTTATATAACAAATATATAATAAAATTTATCGAATATATATAAATATGATTATTCTTAAATATAAAAGCTATGGATTGTTTTTATTAATAGTGTGTATTTATAATACATGTAAATGTTATCAGATTGGGGGCAGATGTGGACACCCGGGTCTTCCACATCACGTGAAGTTATTTCCCGTGAAGAATGTCTACGAAGACGGCGATGAAGTCCGATACACGTGTCCAACGGATTCGCTATACCTTAAGACACAGACCAAGAAGTGTGTGTCGGGCGAGTGGACGGGTCCCCGAACGACATGCGGTTACTTTTTTAGAAATAAGTTAATGCGAGTAAAAGTGATTAAATTGCAAAACAATGATACAGTTGTTGACGTAAATACAAGTAAATACGCTGTGAGTCAATACCAACGCTTCGATCGCTCGTGTTTTTATGATTTCCCGGCGACAGCAGTGTTGGTAACGGATCCACACCTTCCGCATGAATGGCATTTAGAGTTTGAAAAGTTTATAGCCTTTGATTTTCTTCATCTGTATCTCAAAATACCGACACTTGAAATACAGGCCAGAGATACCGATAAAATTGATTTAATTAAAGTCCGGGATATGCGAGTCGTGAGCCAACACAACAGGACCTGTGCTGAAGATTTTAGCACTCGAGCCGACGAGAAAAAAGTATTCTGGTTTTGGTGTACAGATAGTAATGGCTTCTCAAATAACAGTCTATCCATTAGATTCATTACATACGCTACACAACAGGCCGTAAAGACCATAGGCCTGGAACAGGTCTATCTCAGTAAACTCCAGTACTGCGGACACCCGTCGGTCCCTCTATTGGCTAAATATGTGCCGCAAAATAGTGAGAGACAACAGATTCAATGCGATCCAGAGTTGTCATACGAAATCAACTCTTCAGTACCCGTTTTGTCCAATCAATACAACCAGAGAGTGATCAGCGATTGTGTGGACAACGAGTATTTTGCCGGACGTCCCAAATGTGTGCCCAAAATGGTTTGTGAAATACAACTTAACAACGAATCCGAAGAAATCATTTCCGTTAGAAAGACCTATAAATTCAACGAAAGCAAATGGTATGCCATCGAAGGCACACAAGTTTACTATAAGTGTAAGACTGGGTACGAGTTTTCGGGTAAATCCGTGCAAACGTGTGGATACAACTCAACGTGGGATCAGAAGACACCTCTCTGTCATGCAATTAGCCTTAAAAATCAAAGTAAGCGATTCAGAGATTTATTAATTTTTGAAACAAACTCATGATATAATTGTTATTATTAAATATTTCTTAAGATGAATCGTCGGATCTTATAATTCCGGTTATTATTATTGTAGTTGTGATCGTAATAATGATTGCATTAGTTGTGGTCATAATGTTTAGGAACTTTTATATAAAAAATAGAAAATCAAATGAAAAAACAAACGGTAAAGAAGTGGACACTTATGATGACATTTATCTTAACGATGACATCGAAGAATACGCGGATCCGACATATTATGAAGATTTAAAGCTAAAGCGTTACGAAACTATATTTAGTTCAACATTAAACTTAAGCCCAACCGTCAAACCCAAAGCCAATGTCCCACTCGTTCCCTATTATCTCACTATCAATAACGACGATATAAATCATGAAGAGTGTGAGATATATGGACATGAAATCTAAGGATTTGCAAATAGTTTAAGCATTTATGCTTTTATATTATATAAAACTTAATTAATATTTAGTTTTGATTAAAGTAAAATCTTTAGTTAATTAAAATTTTTATTTATTAATATAATAATTATTATTAATAACATATTAAACAAATTTCGAAACATTATAAGCATGTAGCGGATATTAAAATAAAAACTATTACATTAAAGTATTAATTCTGAGAATATTTATTAAAGAATTGATAAAAATAATTATTAATAAAATAGGAGGAATATAATTGTATTGATTGAAACAACATTTTTATTCGACACAACATTAATATGTTTGCAAAATATATTTTATATTAAACAAAATATAAGTATGAATTTTTGCAAATGTATGCGCAATGCATTGTTTGTATTATTTATATGCATGTGTTATACGTGTAGATGCTATCGGGTTGGGAGCCGTTGTGGACATCCGGGTCTTCCACACAATACTAATATTAATCTCGAGAAACATGTCTACGAAGACGGAGAAGAAGTGCAATACAGCTGTCCTTCGGATCAATTTTACCGCAAGAAACAGATCAAGAAGTGTGTGTCGGGCGAGTGGACGGGTGGCCGCTCTACATGCGGTCTCTATATTAAAAATCAGTTAATGCGAGTAAAAGTGGTTAATTTGCAAACTAATAAAACCGTTGTTAATGTGGACACAAGTAATTACAAAAACGACAGGAATTACGTCAGTTTCCAAGACGAAAGCGGGACAGCGGTGTCCATAAGGGACGCACACGAACCGCACGAATGGCACTTACAATTCGCAAACGTTGTCAGAATTGATTTAATTAATATATACCTGAAAATCCCTTCAGCCGTATTCGAGGCCAGTATTCACGACGAAATCGATTTCATGCGATTCCGTGATATGCGGGTCGACAGCGAACACAACAGGACCTGTGCTCTCGATTTTCACACCCTATTAGTCGACGGAAAGATTGAGTCCAATCTGAAATTGAAACGTTTTTTCTGGTTTTGGTGTACAGCGAGTAAAGGGCCGCCGAATAACACTCTGTCCATTAGATTCACCACTTATGGTACGCCACGGGCCGTGAAGGCCATCGGTTTGAATCGGGTCTATCTGACACAACTTCGGTACTGCGGTTACCCGACTGTCCCTCTATTCACTAATTACGTGCTGAAGGATAATAAAAAAGATCGGTTAGAATGCGATCCAGAGGTGGCGTACGATATCACTAATACTTCAGATATGATTTTGTCGGAAACAAAAACCACAAACGATTGTGAAGTCAACGAGTATTGGTCCGGACGACCACAATGTGTGCCCAAAATGTTTTGCAAATTACAGCTCAACAATGAGTCCGAAGAGATTAGTTCCGTTAAAAACGCCTATATATTCAACGAAAGTAAATGGTATGCCATCGAAGGCACACATGTTTACTACAGGTGTAAGACTGGCTATGAATTGTTGAGCGAATCCTTGCGGACGTGTGGATACAACTCCACGTGGGATCAGAAGACAACTGTTTGTCAGGCAATTGGTTTCAGAGATGGTCCGCAAAGTATGTAATTGGGATACAAAGGAAATAATTTATTAAATTTTCAAACGAACACATGATGTGAGTATTATTACAAATTATTTCTCGTTTTGTTGTTTAGATCATTCCGTGTCGTCGGGTGTTATGACTGCGATAGTTATTGTTGTGGTTGTGATCGTAATAATTGTTTCATCAGTTGTGGTCATAATTGTGAGGAGAAGTTATATAAGGAATAAGAAATTGAAAGTCAAACCAAAGGGAGAAACTAATGGTAAAGAGCGGAACAGTTATGACGACATTCAGGACAATAACGACGATAAAGAATACGCGGATCCGACATATGATGAAACCAAAGCTGCAACCAATGTCCCAAATATGCCGTATTATCTGGCTATTAATGACGACAACACAACTCCTGAACTAATGCCTTATTATCTGACTATTACTGAAGACAACACTAATGAAGAAAATATGAATCCGACGCCTAAAGAGGCGATAATGATTTAAAAGATGTCTGCAAAATAATATGCATTAAAATTGTATTATAATTAATGCCCTAATTCTGAAAATATTTAATTTAAACACATTTTATGAAAAAATATCTACTGAAAAAAACCCTTTATGGATTAATGTTGAATTTGCTTCTCATTTCGAGTATTATGTAAAATAAGTTTTAAAAACGGTAACCGAAAGAAAATATGATTTTAATAGTTATTAAATAATTAATTCTCTAAACATGCACCGTAATTGCTTTCAAATATTTCAATAAATATAAAACATTACTAACTCATTTTTATACCGTATATTTTATTTCAATGGATTATCAATATTTTAAACAATTTTGATTTTAGAGCACAGTAAGTCATTTGTATGGAGACAACTATTAAGAAATGCACACATCTAACGGATCTACCAATCGGTTTACTTTTAATTTCCATCTATTTCATTGTTATTCTATGCAAATTATTTTTAAAAATATTTTTAATAATTGTTTCTACATACTTTATGTGGTATTAAAATAAATATTTCCAGTATACAACCACTGTATAGTTTATGTGGTATTATAAAAGTTGCAATTTCCAGGATATCCATGCAATTTATGCACTGTATGTGAGATTTCATACAAAAATATATTATAAAATTAATTTTATACAAATATGAAAATTCTTTTATTAATAATAAATGCATTGTTTTTATTACTTGTATGCATTTGTTATACATGTAAGTGTTATCGGGTTGGGAGTCGTTGTGGACATCCGGGTCTTTACAATAATATGAAGGTATTTCCCGATAAAAATCTGTACGAAGACGGCGACGAAGTCCGATACAGTTGTCCGGGAATTCCGCTATACCTTAAGACACAGAAGAAGAAGTGTGTGTCGGGCGAGTGGACGGGTGCCACACCTATTTGCGGGTATTACGTCAGAAATAAATTAATCAATGTAAAAGTGATTAATTTGCAAAACAATACAACAGTTGTCAATATGAATACAAGCATTTACGCCATGAATGGACACAACACTTGTTATAACGACAAAGAGGCGACCGCAGTGGTGGTCAGGGATCCGCACGAACCCCATGAATGGCACTTTCAGTTTGAAAAGTCATTAAGATTTGACTTTTTTCATCTGTATTTCAAAATACCGAAACAGGAATTCGAGACAAGAATCGCCGATAAAATCGATTCAATTAATGTCCGGAATATTCGTGTCGATAGCGAACACAACAGGACTTGTGCTCTCGATTTTACCACTCGTAACGAATTTAATAAACTGTTTTGGTTTTGGTGTCCATTGAATAAAGAGTCGCCGAATAACGCGCCGTTCATTCGGTTCATCACATTTGCTAAAGAGCCGACAGTAAAGGCCATAGGTCTGGAACAGGTCTACTTGAGCCAAACGTTTTACTGCGGGACACCGACTCTCCCCCTATTGACTAAATATGTGCCGCAAAAAAGTGAGAAAGAGAGGATTCAATGCGATCCGGAGGTGTCGTACGAAATCATATCTTTGGGTCAAAGAGATGATAACGCGACCGATGGAGGTGTTTGTCTATACAACGAGTATTGGGCCCGACGTCCACAATGTGTGCCCAAATTGTTTTGTCAATTAAAACTTAATGAAGTGTCCGAAGAGATTAGTTCCGTTAAAAACGCCTATATATTCAACAAAAGCAAATGGTATGCCGTCGAAGGCACACAAGTTTACTATAAGTGTAAAACTGGTTATGAGTTTATAAGCAAATCAGTGCAAACGTGTGGAATTGGCTCCGCATGGGATCAAACGACACCTATTTGTCATTCAATTGGTGAACAAAGTAAGAAATTTGCAAATATATAAAAACAAAACAAAACACATAATATAAATGTTATTATAAATTATTAATATATACCGTGTTGTTCTTCAGGTCATTCCGTGTCGGCGGTCGTT